GACTGATTTTTGTAAATGCTTTGTAGATAATGAAAAAATCTTTATCTTCCATTAAGGGATAAAGGATTCCATTAAATTCACTTCATTGATTGTACTATTTATTTCTTTTATGTGCTTACTTTTTGTCCACTATAGCTGTCCAATTCGAAATGAGTCATATTAAAATTTTTGTATATTTATATTTTAACTAATTATATACATATAATTATATCAAGTTCATCTTGCATTTTTAGTAGCATTTGCTTCATTTACTTATCTACTATGTTATTTGGTGAAAACAGATTTATGAATATTTTCCAATCTTCATAAATTATACTTTATATCATTATATAATATTTATATTTATTTTGTTGAGTGCTTTTAAATTGTTCATCCTGTTCAGTACTTTTAAATTCCATCTTATCTATCACCCATGTTGCCTTTCATGCATTTTTATTTCTTTGTATTTGTCTGATATATCTTTGCCTGTTCCTTTGTTTTTGCCAATAATATATAACTGGGTTATGTTTTTTTTAATCTGAGTTCACTGACTAGCTGAGAGGATTCAGTCAATTTGCACTAATTTCATAATTAATATACCTGATTTTATTCCTGTCATGTTATCAAAATTTCTTATTTATTTTGTTGTTTTTTAATAAGTTATTTTATTGAGATATAATTCACATACCTCTTAGTACAATTTATTGATTTTTAATATATTCATAGAGTTGTGCAACCAGCACTACTAACTCATTGTAGAATATTTTCATCACCACAAAAACCCCACAGCTTCCTATTCTCCCCTCCCTCCAGCCCCTGGAAATACTCATCTACTTTCTGTCTCTATGGATTTTCCTTTTTTTTTTTTTTTAGGTGAGGAAGATTTGTCCTAAGCTAATATCTGTTGCCAATCTTCCTCTTTTTGCTTGAGGAAGATTCACCCTGAGCTAACATCTGTGCCAGTCTTCCTCTATTTCTTATGCGCATCACCACCACAGCATGGCTGATGAATGGTGTAGGTCCGCACCTGGGATCCGAACCTGTGAACCCAGACTGCCGAAGCAGAGCACACTGAACTTAACCTCTAGGCCATGGGGCCGGCCCCCTATTTTGTTGTTTCTTCTTTTTCTATTTTTTCTTCTTTTCTTATTTTTTTGTTGATTTGATCAAGAGTCTATTAATTTCCCTTTTCCTTTTTTAATTTGGGAGTTCTACGGTACTTTTTATTTCATTAATATTTACATTCATCATCAGTACACAGCCCTATTATTCCATGAGGCAACTATCAATCAAATATTTCTTTCACAAGAGACACTGTCTTCTCCTACTTCTCCCCTCACCCATTTCTCCCAACAATAGGAGACCTCTGGGATCCCTTTGCTTCCCCACTCTTCACCTTGACACCCATCAGAGGAGATCTTGGGAGCATTTTTATCTCCTCCCACTCTCCCCCGGCTTTTAGGCTATTCAGATTTCTGTTGCAGGCTCTTCTACTTTGAGTCCTTGTTTAGCCCTCATGTTGCACATTCTTAGATGCTCTATCATTGATTTTGATTTGACTCTGTGGATATTGGAAGTTTGATTGTTCACCACTGTTTCCTCTCCTCTTAGTCTTTCCTCACCTTGAACACACTCTGCAGGTTAATTTGGCGTTGTTGTAACCCTAACCCTGCCTTAAGATCTCCCTCGAATTGTTATGTGGATGTCCTGGCTGGCCGTGGGACTCTGAGTCTGCAGTCCTCTTAAGAGTCCATGAATGTTATTTCACTGCCTTACACCTTTTGAATGTTCTGTCCAGTGCCAGTCTAATTCTTTTTCCTCTGTAAGCAACTTGCTGCTGCTTTACAGAAGACTTTAAAATGTTTTCTTTATCTTGGAGCTCAAGAATTGTATTAGCATATGCCTAAGTGGTATCTTTTCTCATCAATTCCACCTGAAACTGCACTTTGAAAGTACAGATTTGGATCTTTCTAAAATTCAAGATAAGTTTTATTTTTTAAAAAACATTTCTCTTTTATAATTATTTTTGTCCTCTCATCTTCCTTTTCTTTTTCTGGAACTCCTGTTATTTACAGGTTAGATGCTCTGGGTCTTTCCTCCACACTCTTATGACTTCTCTTTTTTTATATTTTTCCATTTCTTCTACTATATCTTGAAATCTATTAATTCTAGTCTCAACATTGATCAGCCTTCCTTAAGGAAGGAAACTTATCTACTCAATGTTTTAACTTAGAAATCTTTTTTTTAGTTCCAAGAAATCTCTCTTAATCCTGTACTTGTACCTCTTCAAATACTTATTATTCTTCTGCTTCTCCCAACAGTTCTGCTTTGTTGATGGACTGTTCTGATTGCTTTCCTCATTCTTTCTCTGGCTGTTAAACCTCCTTAGGTGTCCTTTTATTTTTCTTTGTTTGTTGCAGCACAGGTCCACCTGCTGGGTACTTTAAGTGGACTGGCCCCATGGTCGTGGGAAAGTACAGACATCTCAGTCATCACAGGCCAGCAATAGGCAAATTGCCAGTTACCAATGGAGGCACCAGAAGGGAGCCTTCTGCATTAGCGTAGAAAAAACTCAGACCCTCCACACTTCCTTAGGGCCAGAGGATCAGGCACACTCAAGGGTCCTGTGATCACTGAGGGACAGCTCCACCAAGGGGATGCTACATGCTGCTCCTTGCCTTAGAGTTCTGCCGCTGTGGTCTCAAAGCTCTTGTTCAGCCCAGAGCCAGAAAGTGCCACAACAGCTATCTAGATCACATCCTCTACCTGAGTACCAGTCCTAATGTCTGCTTGACTTAGGAAAAAAGGATGTGTTTGACCTGAATTGGAAATGGAGACGAAGCAGAGCACAATTAAGCCATCATCTTCCCAGGATTATATCCCCTGGGGATATAATGATGATCATAAAAATGATACATTCCCTGTCCTCATGGAGCTTATGGGATAGTTGGGAGATAGACATTATCAAAGTAAATAAATAATTAAATAAGAAAGAGAAAAAAAAGAAAAAGAAACCCACACATAATTCTGAAATCACCACTGTGATTAGCGCTATGAAGGAAAGGTAAATGGAAATATGAAAGAGGAGCTGACCTGGTAGGGGTGTCAGGGAAGTGATGTCTTGAGGAAGCAATGACTAAGCTGAGATTTCAAGAAAGGGTAGGAGTTAACTGCGTAAGGAGGGAAGGAAAGAGGGCTGCGGGCAGAGAGAGGAGCAGGTTCAAAGACCTTGGGAATAAGCATGGCCCATGTGAGGAACTAAGAGAAGGCCACTGGCTGGGAAAGAGCAAGGGAGATCAGAATGTGAAAGAAGCTGGGGAGGAAGGTAATGATGGGCCAGACCAGGCAGGGCTTCGTAGGCCATCACAGGGAGTGTGCTCTTCTCCTAAAAGCACGTAGCCGTGGGAGTGTTTTATACCAGACGTAAAAATATCTGATTCATATTTTCTGAAGATCATGAGGATTCAATGTGGAGACCAAATTTAAAGGGGCCATGTGATGCTGGGAGACTAGGAAGAAGGCTATTGTAATAGCCTAAGACAGAGATGATGGTAAGATGGTGGTCAATATACAGGAAGTACACTTTTAGGTGGTAAAATGGAAGAAGGGTATGAGAGTGGAAGGTGTCAAAGATACCTGCAAAGTATCTGAATTATACTGCTGCTGCATGAAATGGGTGCACTGTAAGAGGACGAATTCAATCATTCATGTCAAGGTCCCTTTGAGATACTCAAGTGGAGAAGACAACAGGCTATATGAATCTGGGGCAGGTCTGGACAGGAGATACAAATATGTGAGCCATCTGGGTATAAATGGAAAGTGAGTCTCTTAGGCGTGAATGAGAACACTTCGGGAGAGAGTTAGAAGAGAAAAAGATTGTTAATCTTATATACTTCTCGTATCTGTCTAAATTGTATTATCTTTTCTGGAAAGGTGATTGGGAATTGTATCAGTGTCTCAAAAAGTGATCATAACTTTGATCCTATAACTTTATTTATAGGAATCTATCCTCAGAAAATAATAGTAATAAATGTGACAAAGTCTTATGGATAAATATATTCATTTAAGCATCATTTATGATTGCAAAAAAAAGGAATAACTTAATTATCTAATATTAGGAGGAGATTAAGTAAATTATCATATATTTATATTAATGAATATTATGCCATTATAATTTGATGTTTACAAAGATGTACTGTAAGTAGATGACCATGATATAATAGCAAGTGAAAAAGAAAGACACAAAATTGATAGAGAGATAGTAAGATGGAGAGAGAGAGAGAGAGAGAGACAACCTCAGCTGTGTGAAAAATGCATAGAAAGAAAGAGTATAAAGAAATAAGGTTATCTGTAAACAGTGGAAAGCAGATGATTGTTACCATTTTTATGCTTTTATCTAGTTTCCAAATTTTTCAAAATGGGCATGTGTTGTGTCTTATGTATTATTTTATTATTAGGAAAAGAAATATAAAATTATAGCATTGTCCAAGTTATAAAGATGCACTTCATAGGCATTTCACTCTGTTAAATACTGGTTAATGTTCCTTCCTTTTCACAATATTCATGAGCATTTCTGTTTTGAATTTAGCATAGTATTTTAGGTTTGTAAGATTATTGGCATACATTTTAAGGTTTTATGAGCCATTTAGATTTATAAAGTATTTTCGGAAAATTGATCTAAGTACTAGGCAATAGTAAATCCTTTCCCCTCAGAACAACTCCCCGTCAGGTGGCACCCAGTGTATCCTATTGAGAGCATTTGCATTTCCTTCACTTCTGATTGCTCAGCAGCACAGATGACTCTGAATTCTTTAATGTGAGGGGCTTTTTTAAATTATATAATACATACACATAGGAATTTGCTAATTATTTTAAATACAATGAATTGTTTTCGTTTTTCTCCAGTGACTGTCAGAAAACTATCCATTTGGACTGTCATTTGTATCATCATTGTCTGCAGTGATATAAAATCATTTTGAATTTGGCTCAAAACTAAAAGCATGATTTTTTTTTAACTCCAGGAATGTATACAAAGACTATCGCTTCCTTGAGCTGGCATGTGATTCACAGGAGGATGTAGACAGCTGGAAGGCCTCTCTACTAAGAGCTGGGGTTTATCCTGATAAATCTTTAGTAAGTCGGATATATGTCTTATTTAAAAATTATTAACCATGTTTGGGAAAACCTGATTCTACATATTATATGCTGGAGAAACTAGTTCTCTTTTTACTTAATTAATTTGGCACAGTTTTAACTGATACTTTGCTTATATTTCTTTTTCTCTGTTAGGTTTCTATTTTAAGAAGTTAATCAGTTTATTCGCTAAAGAAAATGCCCTACTCTGCCATAAAACATAATATATGTGGTCTCAGACCAACAGAAAGTATCTTTGTTTTAATTTAAAATTTTATTTTATATGCTATTCCACAGTTGTTAAGAGTATTAACACAAGCAGTTTATAACATTCTTCATATAGTCATATATATCATCAATCATAACACTGATATTTCATATTCTTAAAAATGTACTTATTTTTATAAAAATCTACCTCCTTTCATTATGTGTGTATTACCTGTATCCATAATTATATCTGTAAACTCTACTTAATGTCATCATGAGTGTGAAAGAACAAAAAAATATACATTATATTGCTATTCCCACTTATCTTTATTAATATCCTTCAAGTGTCTTGGAGACACTTCTCTCATTCAAGTTAATAAACAGACCTTTTGTGTTCTTTGGAAAATGTAATATTACACAGACTAGTCTGGATTTAAACTTCAGAAGTCCTACCCCACATATGTACACACTCCATTAAACAGACTCTGCGGATGAGTGCTTCTCACTGCTTCCTTGCTGCCTCCTCTGAGACACTGGACTCTCCAGGACTCCCCCAGAACTAAAGAACAGAGACTGAGCCATGGGGAGTTAGTCCAGCTTGATGCTTGTGGTGCTTACCTGGCTCCCGATCAGCTTATAGGACTGATCATGCACAAGGTGGGTTCTTTCCAGGCCCCAAATAGGGACAGGGTCTTTTCAAGAGAAAGTCTGAGACAACAGGTGCAATGTGGGACAACTGACGCATCCCTGAGGGGATTTCAGACCTGACCACATCCCTGAGGTTACATCAGAATTTAACACAGTTCCAGGGGTAAAGGATTGAGGATCTGTGCCAAAATGTTCTCCTTATTGCTGTTATTTTAGCTCATACATAGACCTCTTAACCCCATGCCAACCTACATCTGTCTGGTTAGCACGTAAAACAGTGAACCCCCCCGACGTACCCTGTGCTCTCCAAGTGAGGTGAAACCGGATCCTTTCCCGGTGATACCAGGTACAGAGGTGTCTGTATATGATTTTCGTAACTGTCGCCCAGTTTTTATCAGTTGTGTACATACATGTTTGCATAGATATATACCACTCTAAAGACTACACATAAAAACTAGAATACTACTTCTACTTTTGTCATTAATTCTAATCATTACTTATTACTCTTCCTTATCTATTGATGGTAGTGTTTAATTTCACAAACATTCTATGTTAAAAATGCACATGTACTTAATTTTTTATTCATTCATTTCACAAAAGCCTGTTGAGCAAGCGCTTTTTTCCAGGCACCATTCTTGGCACTAGTGATACAGAGGTGAAGGAGGTCCCGCCCCCAAGGAACACACATTAAACAAGTGAACTAATCACTGTATAATTGTATAGTGTGATTTAAGGGAGTGATGCATTTTATAAAGAAATAATAAAGTTAAAGGGGCAGACAGCGAGAGTGAGGGGCAGGCAAGCTTTATTTTAGTGAAGGTGATTAGGGAAGGCCCCTTTGAAGAGCTGACATTTGAGTAGGCTCCTGAAGGAAGGGAAGGAGTACATGAAATGAAAGTCTGAAGAAGAGTATTGGTGGGAGAGGACTTTCAAGTGCAAAGCCAGCTCAGTGTCTTAGAGGAGCAACAAGAAAGTCAGTGTGTCTGGAACACAGTGAGGGAGAACAAAGGTGGTTGGTGGTTTCCAAGAGGGTGGTCAGAGCCAGAGGATGCAGGCCTTGAAGGAAGTGCTGAGCATTTGGGTGTTATTCTGCGTGAGATGGGAAGCCGTTAGAGGGCTTCAAGCCCGTTAGTGACATGATAAGATTTACATTTTTAAAAGATCGTTACGGCTGGTTTTATGAGAAGCAGTAGAACATGTGGGTTTAAGCACAGGCTTTAGTGTCAGACTACCTAGACTGAAATTCCAGATGCTCACGTACAAGCTGGGAGATCCTGGGCAGGTTGCCTAGGCTTTTTATGTTTCAAGATTCCCATTTCTAAAATGAAGATGACAAGAGTCCCCTATGCATAGCGGCTTTGACAGGATTAACTGAGATAATGCAGGGAAAGCACTGTATAGGGTGGGCACAAGTAAGCACTCTTTTTATTTATAATAATAATGATGATGGTAATAATAATAATAATTTTCATCACAGACTACTTTCTTTAACAAGTAGAGGAGAGCAAAAACGCTGTGGATATTATAGTATAGCCCAATGAGATTGTAAATACTTTATGCCATTTTCTGTCTTTCAAACATGCTTGGTTATATAAAATATCAACGTGTGTGTGTGTGTATGTGTGTGTGTGTGTGTGTGTGTGTGTGTACCTTCCTTACATGCAACTATCATGTTTGTGAAAATGTTAAGTCATGATTTTGTCCATTAAAATTATCTTAAATGCACTAGACAAGTTTGCTATTTAAAGAAATCACGTAATGCATCTCATGAGGGAAAACCTGTCTTGGAAAAACTGTTTTTATAAATCTAGATTTTCATGTATCCATAGTTCTACACAAAAAAGATGCTCAATGAAATATTTGCTATTTTTTATCAGAATGCTCAATTTTAAGCAAATCTAGAGTTGTCTTACACAATCTGTTTTGATCTTTTCACATCATTTTGTTTATAAACACATTTGGTACAGTTGCTTGGAAGATCGAGACAAAGGGGTTTTTTACTACATACCAAAGACATGACAGGAAATTAAACTTGGCAGTGTGCCAGGAACGTTGCTTTTCTCAGTTTTCATCATAAACAATATTTGCATTCCTTATGCACCATGTAGTTCTACAGGTTATTTTACATGATTGCTTGACTTTCAGATGTTTAAATGGCAGCTAACTACTGAAAGCAATCTAAGTAGAAAGCTTATCTAAACATTCCATTTTGTGAATACTCTTAGATTTGGGGGAAGGGATACTTTGAGGTACAGTGATTCCTCAAGTAGGGAGGTTTGATGAAGTCAGATTAACCTAATAATAGATGTCTCTCTCTAATTAAATTTTTAGGACTCTGATGTGTCATTTTGTTTTTGTATCAATAAACCATTGAGTCAACAGCAAATCAGTTAATCGCTACCCTAATACTGAAATGTTTGTGTGTCATACATGGACATGAGTCTAGACTCAAAAAATACCTCTATTTTTACTGGAAAAAAAAATTCTATGTAGATCATTATTTTTAAATGTATAAATTTGGCATAATTTAGATAAAAATGTATAAATTTGGCTTCATTCCATCACCCAAATGTGAATGAAATGATGTTTTGGACAAATTTTTTTTTTAACTAAGGTTGCACACTTCTTTATAACATGCTTTTCCCCATCATATTTCTTTTCTATCACATCCACACTATACAATGTTTTTATGTCACTCATATCATAGTGTTCTGCTACCCTGTTTCTTCCATCTCTTAGGTCATTTCTCTTGGAGTTCTCTACAAATTTTGTCTTCTTTCTTTCCTTCCCTTCCACCCTCTCCCCCCACTTGCTTCCTTCCCATCATCTATCACTGTTATGGTGGACTCGAGAGATTCAGAGATAAAAAAAGATGCAATTCTTACTTTATAGAAGTTCCAAGTCTAGTGGAACAGAGAGATGCAAATAAATAATTACTCTACAACATGATAAAAACTACAGTGGATATCTGTATAAAATGCAACAGTCCAACTATATTTCCATGTGCATTTTCTAATTACCTTCAGTGCCTTAATCTCTCTGGATCCAAAGCAGAATGTAGACTTATCTGAGCACTGTTGTCTGTGGCCCTAGAATGGAAACGAGGAGTTCTGGATTCAGTTTCCCACTGTGCCACTGACTTACTCAGTGAACTTACATGTAACCTCTCTGAGCCACAGATTTAGCATTCTACCAATCACCTAATCTTTCTGAGCAGCCACAATATATTAAAAATATATTTAAATTGAATTTGGATTTAGAAGAATTTTATGTCTTTTATTTCTATTGCCTTTGGCCATTAGATTGAAATTATAACCACTATAAAATTTTATATTGTTAAATAAGTGTATAGGATTTTACACAGTTTCAAAGTAACAATGTTTCTAATGGAATTGTTTTTTTTACTGATGAGACTAAGATAAAAAGTTTGTGTGTGTGTTGTGTGTGCGTGTGTGTATCAGTAGTTACAGGCTACAGTTAAAGAACTTCTAAAATATTATTTTACTGACACGTACATAAATTTTTCCTATAAGTGTGGATACAGATAAATGTGAATTTGATTAAATATCTGAAGAACATGATATAACAAATGACTGATTTTCTGGCACAGTTTTGTCAGCATACAATATGATTTAAATTATATATAAACATTAAGGAATTCCAAATTCTTTGGAACATTTTGTGTGCAGTGAAATGAGATAGACTTTAAGTCAAATCCACTCACGTTTGGATCCCAACTCTTCCATTTATTAGCTGTGTGGCTCAGGCAACTTACTTAACTCTCCAGTCGTCTATTCTTTTTTAAACTCAAAATAAGAATACCTTCCTCTGAGTGATCTTATAGGATTAAATGAAGACTGTTGCACATTACATCTAGCTCGGTGCCTGCAACTGGGTGAATGTGTTCACTGCCACGTAGCCTTTATTATTGTTATTGAAAATCATTAATGTGTCCATGAAGCTGTAATTCCCAGTTTAGTAGTTCCTTTTTCTTTGGAAACTCTCAGTGGGATTTGGGCATGTGAGGGAGAATTTCCCCAACTGTTGGCTGAGGAAGCCAAACTGCTTAGGGGAGTCTTGGGCTTATGCTGCCCTGTGGACCGTCTGGCCAGAGAGGCTGTCAGGGAACGTGAGGATTCATATGCCTGCCCTCAGATGCTGGCCTGCTGGCTGTCTGAAAGAAGCAGCCTGCAGATCCGTGCATGCCCTGGAAGTAAATTTGAAGCAAATTCAGTTTTGCGTATTTGTTAAATCATACACTTCAGAACTTTTTACAAGGTTTCTGTTAGCTATATAGATAATGGTCCTCCCATATAGTATATGATTTCTTAAGACATGAAAAACGACAGTAGAAAGTGAAACACCCTGGAACTTCTGAATTTAGGACTCTCTTAATCGTAATTAGTGTTTTTAGGACTGCTTTCGAGGTTGAAACCATCCTATAATGAAGTCCGTTTTTGGACTGAAGAATTTACTTTTGGACAGACTCTAAAACTGAATTTTTCTCTGTGGCAAATGACAATTAGGGGAGAGGGTCTCTGTATCATTCCAAGGGGAGAATAGGAATGGCCACAGACCTCCATAAATATTTATTAATATAGTGATGACCACTCATATGCATTTATTCAGCCATCTGATAATACAAGACTGAAAATGCCCATGCTTGGCCAGCTACACATCACTTTATTCTCAGCTTATTCAGCAGTGCTTCCGGAACTCAGAGCAGCTAGACGACCAATTCCCGAGTTTAGTTTTCCTTCAATGGAGGTACTTTCAGGGATCTAAACATAAATTGCTGCCACACAGAGCAGTAGAGGGAATTATAAAGCATTTACAGTCCACCGTTCATGACTGATACGCCTCTCTCAGAATAGACATTTGGGAAGTGACTGAAGGAAACAAGAAATGGCAGAGCCACACCACGTACTCCACTTGTATGTTCCTTGGATATAAGGATTGAGGCCCTCTACTCTGTGACATCATTGTAGCCACTACAAATAGAACCATCTGCCATCGAACTGGGAAGCCAGTCATTCTCTAATGTGCAAAAATACTTGGTTGAACTCCTGAAACTTATTTGGTAGATCAAAAGCTGCACTGCTGTGGAATGCAATAAACTCCATCTGTCTGAGGTATTTTCAGCAATATTGCACTTCTTCGGAGAACCGGGGTCCCATTATTCTCTAAAGTAGTATTTTACTCCTGATAAAATTCCCTGTGGGGATCTTTATTGCCTTATTGAACAGTCAGCATATCCTTCACAAAAGACTCTTTTTTTACCCCCTCATTCATTCTTGTACCATTATTTATGTCTCACATAAGTCCGTGATATTAACGGTTATATCATGGCAACTCACAATACCAAGAAGCTTCTCTAAACTCTTTTATCGGTGTCTTTAAATTCATGTTTTTATTAAATATGATGGCCATGATGGTCCTTGGATTAGGCATTTCCCCAGAGTCACCAATTGGCATTGTTTTCAGTTTTCAAGAAAATACACTCTCCTGCAATCGTTGCCTTACCATGCTCCAGAAAATTTCTTTGTGTACCATTTCCCCCTCCACATCCTCTCTTAAAACTAAATGCCAGATCTCCAGCCCAACCTGTTTCTCCACCCTGTACTAGGTCTCCTCGACAGACACACACACTTTATTAAAGGCTCTCTTCAACTCCGCATCTCAGTGAGAAGTTCCTTCTGGGCCCCTTGTGAGAAGCGTTCAGATCTGGTCCCTGCCCACATCCCATCACGTCTTCCCCACAGGATCTGACCTTGCGAGGACTCGGGCTGCCCTGGGAGTAATGAATCACTGTTTTATTTTTTTAAGCCATATGTGAGTTAAATTGTTTGATATAAATCATACTCTTGCAGCTCCAGTGTGAAACAGGAGAGCCATTTGCCTGCTGCCTGTCGCTGGCTGCTCTCTGTGTCTCTATCTAGAGTGTCCCTTTAGAAATGATACATTTTTGTGACTAACCTTTCCAGACCAATTTTCTTGAATGTGGACCAGTGTTCATTTTGGCTGCATCCCCACTATACAGTTTTCACTTCCCATGCCAACCCAAGACAAAACTCATAATTTACGAAATAAAGGAATGGTACAGATGGAGGTCATAACTTGGTCTGCTTACCCTGTCTCTCCATAACTACCCACTCCTTTCTTCTGCTCTCTTTTCCTTTTTTTTTTTTTTTCCACCTTCTTTGAAACCAAGGATGCAGTGTTTGTTTAAAAATGCATTGGCTGATGAAATTTTCCACTGCTTGGCATGTTGGAGGAGGGGCTGTCAGGAAAGGACAAGCCGACATACTAAATACTTTGCCTTTCATGCTAACAGTTCACTTATTACCAATTCAAACCAATGCTTTTTGGCCAGGTTCTCATACGCCAAGTATTCCGAGTAGAAAAAGAGAAGGAAATCTCGGTCATAATTTTCTGCTGTTATAAATGTATAACTTCATTTAATTTAAGTGGATTCTTCGACTTGTCCATGAGCTCTGGGTGCTATCTGTGTATGTATGGGATGTGAGTGAACAGCTAAATTATTTGTTTTGATTTTGCTCCAGCAAGAAAAACTTCATAATTTTAAAATAAATTTATGCTTAACATATTTCTTTTTTTTTTTTTCCTTGCGGCTACATGCACAGGGGAACAACAAAGTAAGTTCTTTGACCTACTGCAGCTCCTCTTTCTCTCCAGCCCCCATACTCCTCCTGCATGTGTCTTGGCAAGAGTGTTTCTGTGCACGTTGAAATGACTGTCGTCTGTGACAGTGCACAAATGATAGAGGGTGTGCAAATGTCGGAAAAACATGTGTTTGGACTACCATAATGGCTGTTCTGTTTTGACCTTCTGGGAGGGAGATATTATATTCTTCAGGGCTGGTTTTTGGACAGTTCAGAGAGGTTGCTATTATAAGGAAAGAGACTGACGCTGAGAGCAAAGATTATGAAAAGTTAATATTGAAGACTCTTCTGCAGGAACAGTACGACTGTTCTGATGAATCTGATGAAACTCAGTGCAGCCGAAGTTTTTGACCAAAAATCAAAGCTCTCATGTTAATGTGCAGTTATAAAAACCCCAAACTGGAGTCTTAAATAGCAGGATGGCTGGCTTTGTTGGTGAAACTGAACTAGATCAGTGCTCTGGCTTTGAAGGTGCCTTAAAATGGATGGAGGAGGGTGGGGTCAACATTTGACTTGGCTTCTGCGCCCTTGATGTATTCCAGCTGGATGGAAGCAGGAGGGTGTGGGGAATGGAGGGGGAGACTGAAATGTGTATGATAGATTTGTGAAACCAGGCAACACACACAAATGGTGGAAATTATTTTAATGTTGTCATGTAATAGATAAATAAGCAATTTAGTAGTTCATAGGGTTGCTAGCTTGTTTAAATTTGAATTCAACTTTTTCAAAAGACTAGAACTACTTCTCATTTATATTAGTTATGTAATAATAACGTAGTTGGGGAAGATGGTCTTAAGCTTAGAGGGGTGATTTGTTTTTCAGTTTTTCTATGGAGAATCATTAGTACTTCATCCTACCAGGTGGCCCACTTAAAATGGGCCTCATTGAATACAATAAGAATTGAAAAGAATCGGTTATATAAGGGCTTGCCTGCATATTTAGACCAGCTGGAATTCATCAAAATTGCTATTCATAAGCCATACATATAGAATGTAAAACAAATGGGGGAAATCTTACAGTTTAATTTGATGGAATGTGCTATTATGGAATAAGTTGACATAGATGGTTGGTATTGAAAATGTGTCACTTTATAAATTTATATCTTGATATAACTGCTTATGACCCAAGTAATAATATTTAATAAAGTTAAAAAAAATACAAGTAAAGTACAAGATAGGCATTTGTGAAGGAGCAAAGGGGTGAACTCAGCCCCAATAGTTCACTTTTTTAAAACAGCAGGTAACTTATGAAATTGATTAAAGGTTTCTTCCACAAAGGAAAGGATAATATTTCTAACTAATACTACCACTATTGCAAAAAAATATTTGTACAAATTATAAAAACCCATATGTTAGTTCTTATACTTTATAATGTATTTCAATTCTTCAATAGTAAGTATGTCTGATCCTGGTCCCTTACATTCACTGAGTTTCTGTCTAGAATTTCCTGTGCTGCGTCTCTTCTTTGTTTGTCAAGTACCCTGAGCTGATTGTGAGTGCTCTAATAGCCAAGCCTGTGCATGCTGAAGATCAGGGAAGCAGCTGCTGACATTTTGGGGAAGTGCTAACCCTTAGACCACTCGAGAAGCATTTACAATTTGCCTCTTTCATTAGTGATTCACTGATGACTTAAAGGCATTTGTAAAATCCCCAAAAGAAAATACTTCTCCATAGCAGGAGTCATCCATTTGTTGTGTCTTGCTTGGTCAAGTTCTTCTGGGTAATAAAATGTTCAGTTTAATAGAGTTGACTGATTTTCAAATATTTATAATACAATGAGCAATAAAAATTAAAAATTCTAAGTTGCTGCTCATTAAGGGTACCTCTAGGATGATGCAGAAGGCCCTCCCGGGTCTCCAGGCACCTGGAGCCACCATCTGCATTGTGAACATTTGGTACAATGCTGGGGGGAGCTTCCGGTGCCTATTTGTCTTAGAGTTGTTGGTTGGAGTGCCAAAGATGCGAATGCTACTGCCTTGGTTTTTAATTGAAGAGTGGCTACATGGGAAGTGCTGATATTTATTAACCGTATGCCTTAATTTTTAATTGTTTATGTTATTAAAAAGTGATAGTTTGTGAAAAAATGTAATACTAGTACTTTTAAAACATGATTATTATACTGACCATGGACTCTGGCACAAAAGAGCCTCATCAAATCACAAACAGCACATCTGCATGCTATTTTCCTTTAGCTTAGAATTTCAGTATAAATGGAAAACACTGGAGCACAAGCTGTGCTGTCTCCAGAGTATAGATCTAGAGTCTTCAAAAGGAGAATATGAGATTCTTTTTTCCCTCTCGTGCTGGAATCCTTGTTCTGAGTTGTCCCCAAGACAACATACCTGACTTGTTGGCTGCCAGCTGTAAAAGGTGACTCATTTTAGACTCACAATGGCTAATTGTTTATTTAGTGAATGACATTTTATTATTTATGATACTAACCAGACTCTAAAGAGAATGAAGTCTGCTCAATTAATGTTTCTCTAGAAGAGCAGAATGAATGGATTCATCTTCCCACGTACATTAAGTGTGGTGCACACACACACATACACATACACACACGTATATTCTTTTTTTATTTTATTTTTTTTTTAATTTTTTTTGTGAGGAAGATCAGCCCTGAGCTAACATCCGTGCTAATCCTCCTCTTTTTGCTGAGGAAGACCGGCTTTGAGCCAACATCTATTGCCAATCCTCCTCCTTTTTTTTCCCCAAAGCCCCAGTAGATAGTTGTATGTCATAGTTGCACATCCTTCTAGTTGCTGTATGTGGGACGCAGCCTCAGCATGGCTGGAGAAGCGGTGCGTCGGTGCATGCCTGGGATCTGAACCCCGGCCGCCAGGAGTGGAGTGTGCACACTTAACCACTAAGCCATGAGGCCGGCCCCACACGTATATTCTGAGGTGTAGGGAACAATCCTACTGTTCATTTTCTCTGTGACAGCTAAATTGATCTGCTTCACCCATCTTTAGATCATGCTTGGAGTTCAGAAGCTAATCTTCTAAACTCCAAGAAAACAAACGTCTACAATAGATGCACATTTAGATTTACATAACAAATGCATGATGGAACAAAACAGCAAGGTTCACATTCCTCTTTGAACAATTATATGTATTTTGTTTGTTATTTCTCCTCAAAAAGCAAATTTTCCTGTTTGGAGGAGATTATACTTGCTTAGGAAGAATTTTCCTTTCAGACTCATTCCTTATTTCTCCCTTTGAAAATGTTTTTCTCTTGGTATAGTGGTACCATAAATTGCTTAGGGTGGAGTCTATCTCGTCCTGAGAGGGTTTCCCTCCACCGTGGATTCCAGGTCAATGTCTTCATGAGCAAGACCAGAATCTAGGACTTCCTAAGTCGGTTTCAGGAATGTGAACAAGTATGTACAGTAACAGGGAGGTTTGTTTGTTTTTTTAATTTGTTTGTTTGTTGAGCATAAATGTAAATCAGAATGTCATTTTCAGAACTGAGGCCTTCAAGTAAAAAGTAACCTCCATGTTTTGTCCTAGAGAGAAGACATTTAATTTCCTTCTTTAATTTGATGCCCTCTCTTGGTAGGTTTTGTATAAATTTAATAGATGTTTAATTTCATTTCTTTATTAAAGACTTTTTGGTTAAATATCTTTGATATTAAATCAGGCAAATTGCAGGTAGAGAAAATACTATAAGGAATAAAATTCTATAACAAAAAAACCCTCAAATTTCTTAATGATGGTGCAAAAACACAAATGAAAACAAAAGAATCTTAGGTTCAGAAATGAATGCTTCAAAAAATTTTAAGTTATGGGGAAAAGCTACATTTAATCCCTTCCCTTATGAATCTTTTATTACTTTTGAAAGAGAAATTTACTATTGCTTTACTTAACTTTGATGTTTTTAAACTAAAGGATTCTTATATTTCCCCCCGCAGAATTATGAAGTTGACTGCCTTGATTGGCGAGAAAGAGCATTTGAAAAGGAGAAATAGAACCAAAACATGCTAAAACAAAATTTAAAAATAACTAAGTCTTTATTAAGTCCTAGTTAGGTTAAATGCAATAATTTTATACATATTGGAAGGCTTTGATGTTTAAGAAAAGAAGAAGGAGGACCAGCCCCGGTGGCCTAGTGGTTAAGTTTGAGGTGCTCTGCTTCAGCGGCCCAGGTTTGGTTCCCGGGCGCAGACCTACATCACTCGTCTTATCAGTGGCCATGCTGTGGTGGTGGCTCACATACAAAACAAAGTAAGATTGGCAACAGATGTTAGCCCAGGGCGAATCTTCCTCAAAAAAAAAAAAAAAAAAAAGGAAGAAAAGAAGAAAGAAGGAAAAGCAGATTTAAACACCTGTTTTACAACATTTAGAAAATACTTTGTCTAGTGATTTCCCAACACACTCAGCAAGACAAGTGAACATTGTCAGCCTCCATTAGTGGGAAAAGTAGTTATTACTTAGAGGGCTTATTTTGGTGATCCATTGGATTCTAGCAGTCATTTGCAAAGATAAAGTGTGCCAAATCAAATGTCACCAAAACATATTACACTGAAGGGCACAGATGTTAAATCCACGTTAATTTGTCTTGCCTCTTATGCCAGACCTTCAACATCTCAATTCCTGTCTTTGGTCATAGGAGAGTATAGACAAGCACTGAAAACCCATCGTCAGCCCTGGAAATGTCTTGTTGATGGTGTGTATTATAATCTTGGTAGATGAAAGGAGCAGACAGTATAGTGTCATAATGTACATTTCCTCTCTAATATTTAAAATGCATGAGTGAAAGTCAGAACATTCTAAGCAGTTTAGGTACAGTCAGCTCAAGTAGGGTTATTTATTTTCTTTGAATAATATATATACTTTTCCTGACTTTCTTAGAGAAGTTCAACAAATGTATTTCCCTGGGATTTAAGGAGAGCACATCTGGTTCACTTAATTTATGCATAACCCAATAAGAATATCATTAAAGTTAAAAGAAAGGACGAAAACTCACTGGTCTCAA